TGAGGAGTTTGGTACGGGGGCCCATGGCAGATTACGGGCCTGGCAGCAGCAATGGGAGGCCGTACAGGGACCCATGACACGAACACTCTGGACCTGGCAGCAGCATGAGGAGGCGGTACAGGTGGCCCATGACAGATTACGGGCCTGGCAGCAGCATGAGGAGTCGGTACAGGGGCCCATGGCACATTCTGGGCCTGGCAGCAGCAATGAGGAGGCGGTACAGGGGCGCATTGACAGATTACGAGCCTGGCAGCAGCAACTTGGACAGGAGGACGTTCAGCTGGCAGCAAACCGTCGGGTTGCGTGTCGCAAAAGGTGTGTCTCTTATGGAAACGGATTCCAACAAAGCGACTGCAGGTGGGGACGGAGGATCCGTGAAGAGGAGTACAGAGAAGGAGCCTGCAGCAGCATGAGGAGCCGGTACGGGGGCCCATGGCAGATTACGGGCCTGGCAGCATCAGCAATGGATGAGGCCCGTAATCTGCCAGCACCCTATGACAAAAAATGAACACACCAGCATGTGTTTGTGAGGAGACCTGAAAGTGGCACCATGGCAGAGTGTGGCGATGGAGGACAGCAGCAATGGGAGGCCGTACAGGGACCCATGAGAGACTCTGGACCTGGCAGCAGCATGAGGAGGCGGTAGGGGGCCCATGGCAGATTAGGGGCCTGGCAGCAGCAAATGGGAGGCCCGTAATCTGCCAGCACCCTATGACAAAAAATGGAACACACCAGCAGTGTGTGAGGAGACCTGAAAGTGGCACATGGCAGAGTGTGGCGATGGAGACAGCAGCAATGGGAGGCCGTACAGGGACCCATGAGAGACTCTGGACCTGGCAGCAGCATGAGGAGGCGGTATAGGGGCCCATGGCAGATTAGAGGGCCTGGCAGCAGCTATGGGAGGCCCGTAATCTGCCAGCACCCTATGACAAAAAATGGAACACACCAGCAGTGTGAGGAGACCTGAAAGTGGCACATGGCAGAGTGTGGCGATGGAGACACAATGCCGTGAGAGACTGGACCTGGCAGCATGAGGAGGCGGTAAGGGGCCCATGGCAGATTAGGGGCCTGGCAGCAGCTATGGGAGGCCCGTAATCTGCCAGCACCCTATGACAAAAAATGGAACACACCAGCATGTGTGAGGAGACCTGAAAGTGGCACATGGCAGAGTGTGGCGATGGAGACAGCAGCAATGGGAGGCCGTACAGGGACCCATGAGAGACTCTGGACCTGGCAGCAGCATGAGGAGGCGGTACAGGGGGCCCATGGCAGATTAGGGCCTGGCAGCAGCTATGGAGGCCCGTAATCTGCCAGCACCCTATGACAAAAAATGGAACACACCAGCATGTGTGAGGAGACCTGAAAGTGGCACATGTTTGGGGCATGATTCATGGCGGATTTAGTCAGTTGTGTCAGGAACTGGTGGTTTGAAATCCAGACTAATCCACGCCTGATTCATTTTCACAAACTGAGTCTCTCCACACTTTGGGTGGACAGTCGTGTCCTCCGCGGAGTTACAATACCTCCTGCCGCACTAAACAACGCGCTCCGATGCCACGCTACTGGCCGGGCATGACAGCCTTTCAAGGGCAAATTCAGCTAGTTGGGGCCAAAGGTCAAGTTTCGTTGCCCAGTAGTCCAAGGGGATTGTCTACCTCGGTTGGCAGGGTGCTGTCCAAGTAGGCCTAAGCCTGTTGTTTTTTGAGGTCCTGCTCCAGGCCACCTGATGCTGGGCAGCTGCTGCGGGCTGGTTTAGTATTTCCTCACTGCGCTGGTGAAGAAAGCTACTCATCATCGACTGCAGACTGAGGCAGCCGCTGCTGGTGGAGCTGCCACTGCTCCAGACCCACCCCACCCCTCCCCTGCTGCCATGGCAGCGGAACGCGAGCGAACAGGGCCCACAGTGTCTGAGGATGGACGTTGGCGCAGAAAGGCAGAGACCACTGACTACATAGGTGGACCGTTATTTTGGCCTCCCTCTCACAGGTGTGAAAAAGGCCACCATTTTTGAACGGTAGCGAGGGTCCAACAAGGTGGACAGCCAAAAGTCATCCCTCTGTCTGATGGTTATTATTCGGGCCTGTCGCTACGCAAGCAAGCGAGCAATGCTATGGCCATTTGTGCCAAGGATGCATGAGGGACTCCCTGCCTCCATCTCCACAGCATACTGCCACGGTGCGTATCTGGGTCCTCTGTCTCCTCCTCCTCCTCCTCTACCAGATGCTCCTGCTCCTCCACTCCTGTCCGCTGAGTGGAAAAACCACCCATTTCACTCAATAATTCCTGACACCAATGTCCTCCTCTACCTCCTCCTCTTCTTCCTGTCCTGCCCCCACAGGGGTCATGTGGCGTTGAGATCTGTGCGCCACGTCTACCGCACCCTGACCAGGGACCCATTGTTAACAGCATTTGTTCTAGGACGTGCAGCAGCATGAGGAATGACGTCGTTCATGGGGGCCCATGGCAGTCCTGCCGACTGGCAGCAGAATAGGAGGCCTCCTCAAAGGGCCTGAGCAAGCCAGGTGTCACCCATGAGCTGCCAATGGCTGACATCTAAGTTACACAGTGTGAGGAGTACCTGAAATCCGCTTGTAACATCAGGAAATCTGTGATGGCGATGGAGACAGTTCAGCAAAGGCGGCCTAACATATGTAGGGTTGAATGATCAGACCTTGTTGCAACGTCACAGCATGAGGAGGCGGTCGGTAGGGGCCCATGGCAGATTACGGGCCTGGCAGCAGCAATGGGAGGCCCGTAATCTGCCAGCACCCTATGACAAAAATGGAACACACACCCAGCAGTGTGAGGAGACCTGAAAGTGGCACATGGCAGAGTGTGGCGATGGAGACAGCAGCAATGGGAGGCCGTACAGGGACCCATGAGAGACTCTGGACCTGGCAGCAGCATGAGGAGGCGGTATAGGGGCCCATGGCAGATTAGGGCCTGGCAGCAGCTATGGGAGGCCCGTAATCTGCCAGCACCCTATGACAAAAAATTGGAACACACCAGCAGTGTGAGGAGACCTGAAAGTGGCACATGGCAGAGTGTGGCGATGAGACAGCAGCAATGGGAGGCCGTACAGGGACCCATGAGAGACTCTGGACCTTGGCAGCAGCATGAGGAGGCGGTATAGGGGCCCATGGCAGATTAGGGGCCTGGCAGCAGCTATGGGAGGCCCGTAATCTGCCAGCACCCCTAATGTCAAAAAATGGAACACACCAGCAGTGTGAGGAGACCTGAAAGTGGCACAAATGGCAGAGTGTGGCGATGGAGACAGCAGCAATGGGAGGCCGTACAGGGACCCATGAGAGACTCTGGACCTGGCAGCAGCATGAGGAGGCGGTATAGGGTCGGCCCCCCATGGCAGATTAGGGGCCTGGCAGCAGCTATGGGAGGCCCGTAATCTGCCAGCACCCTATGACAAAAAATGGAACACACCAGCAGTGTGAGGAGACCTGAAGTGGCACATGTTTGGGGCATGATTCATGGCGGATTTAGTCAGTTGTGTCAGGAACTGGTGGTTTGAAATCCAGACTAATCCACGCCTGATTCATTTTCACAAACGTGAGTCTCTCCACACTTTGGGTGGACAGTCCGTGTCCTCCGCGGAGTTACAATACCTCCTGCCGCACTAAACACGCGCTCCGATGCCACGCTACTGGCCGGGCATGACAGCCTTTCAAGGGCAAATTCAGCTAGTTGGGGCCAAAGGTCAAGTTTCGTTGCCCAGTAGTCAAGGGGATTGTCTACCTCGGTTGGCAGGGTGCTGTCCAAGTAGGCCTAAGCCTGTTGTTTGAGGTCCTGCTCCAGGTCCACCTGATGCTGCTGCTGCTGCTGCGGCTGGTTAGTAGTTTCCTCACTGCGCTGGTGAAGAAAGCTACTCATCATCGACTGCAGACTGAGGCAGCCGCTGCTGGTGGAGCTGCCACTGCTCCTACCACCCCACCCCTCCCCTGCTGCCATGGCAGCGGAACGCGAGCGCACAGGGCCCACAGTGTCTGAGGATGGACGTTGGCGCAGAAAGGCAGAGACCAACTGACTACATAGGTGGTTTTTATAGTACGTTATTTTGGCCTCCCTCTCAGCAGGTGTGAAAAAGGCCACCATTTTTGAACGGTAGCGAGGGTCCAACAAGGTGGACACCAAAAGTCATCCCTCTGTCTGATGGTTATTATTCGGCTGTCGCTAACGCAAGCAACCGAGCATGCTATGGGCCATTTGTGCCAAGGAATGCGAGGGACTCCCTGCCTCCATCTCCACAGCATACTGCCACGGTGCGTCTGGGTCCTCTGTCTCCTCCTCCTCCTCCTCTACCAGATGCTCCTGCTCCTCCACTCCTGTCCGCTGAGTGGAAAAACCACCCATTTCACTCAATAATTCCTGAGCACAAATGTCCTCCTCTACCTCCTCCTCTTCTTCCTGTCCTGCCCCCACAGGGGTCATGTGGCGTTGAGATCTGTGCGCCACGTCTACCGCACCCTGACCAGCCATTGTTAACAGCATTTGTTCCAGGACGTGCAACAGAGGAATGACGTCGTTCATCCCATAGTCCCCCTGCCGACTCACGAATAGCGTGGCCTCCTCAAAGGGCCTGAGCAAGCGGCAGGTGTCACGCATGAGCTGCCAATGGCTGACATCAAAGTTACACAGGGGAGTACCTTTATCCGCTTGTAACATCAGAAATCGTGATGGCCTTTCGCTGTTCGTAAAGGCGGTCTAACATGTGTAGGGTTGAATTCCACCTTGTTGCAACGTCGCAGATCCAGGCGATGCTGTGGAATGCCGTTCTGACCGACTGCAAGCTCAAGGAGGTGTGCTTTGCGGGTGTAGGAAGGGCTGAAATGCATGCAAAGTTTACGTGACATGTTTAAGATGTCTTGCAGTGGGATGGTGGATTTTAGGAACCTCGCTTGACAACCAATTGAACACGTTGAGCCATGGCATGGGCGCATGGGAACAACCTTCCCGTGACGCAGAGCCGAACACCATGTTCTTTGTCCGATGTCGGTCAACATGGTTCCGATTTTCATTTTGCGCGGAGACAGCCATCTGTCGATTTCTACTGTTCAATTACACTGAGAAGTTCCTCCCTGTGTGACTACGTTCGCCAGGCATACCAGGTGCAGCACAGCGTGGACACCTTTGCGCCCTGCACATGTGATAGGCCGGTCGGTGTAATGGGACTTGGCACGGGGGTGGACGGCTGAGGACACGGCGGAAGAAGAGGTGGTAGAGGCGGACAATCTTTATTGTGGACCAAGGACCGTGGCAAACGTGGAGTCAAAAGCGGCGTGACCTGTCCAAGTTGCTGGTGCGGCTGTGCCGGCACCTAAAACGTTCACTCCCAGTGGGCCGTAAATGACATGTACTGTCCCTGACCGTAGTTACAGCTCCACACGTCGGCGCTGCCGTGCACTTTGGCAGAGACCGACATGCGCAACCCTAAGACTGGCCCACCATCTCATCTACATGTGTAAATGCAGGGCTAGGCACTGCGCATTTTTTTGGCGAAGAAATGACGGCTTGGCACTCAGCCACCGCGGCACGGCACAAGCCATCATTTCTCGGAAAGGTGCTAAGAGTCCACCACTTAGGAAAGGGAGGGGACTGCAGCACCAGCAACTTGGACAGAGGACTTTTCAAGCTTTGGCAAACCGTCGGGTGCGTGCTCGCAAACTGTTGTCTCTTGGAAACTAGGATTCCCAAGAAAGGACTGCTGACGGGAATCCGTGAAGAGGTAGTAAAGCAGCGAGAAGGAGCCCATCTGGAACGAGCGGAAGATGGCCAACGAGCGACAAACTCCCCCTCAGCAGAGTTGTTTGGAGCCTTGACTTGGCTGATAGAGGGCGATTGCTCCGTCGGTGACGGAGCAAGTAAACAGGAGCGGGTGATGGAGCGGGGCTGGGGGCAGGGCAGAACCCGCCGTTATCTTAATCACGGTTTTCCCAGGCCACCAAATGGCGACGCTGCATATGCTGCCGGCAACTCTGTAGTCCCAACAATGGCCCCCTGGCCACACTGACTTTCTGGCCACAGAGTCGACATACGCTACGTTTACTTCCTCGGTTTGCGGCAGTGACCGTAAAATTTGCCACACCGCCGAGTAGGAAACTTTGCCCCCGATACTCCTCACTGGGCTGACTGCTACCTTCCTCCGTGCACAACCGGCACCACTACTGGCCGTAGGTGGTAGGCTGCAGTGGAGGCATGGTGCTACTACTTCCGTGGGCCGTTTGCCTCCACTG